ATAAATTAATTTAAAAAAAAAGTTAAACAAAATAGGTGATCTTAATTTTAATAATATGTTCTATTTAACCAAATCTATGCAAATTATCATTTCAACTCATTATCAATATAAAAATTATTAATGAGATATTTTACAGTCTTTATTTCACATAGAGTCTTTGAAATCTGAAGTGTATTTTACATTTACTGCACATTCCAATGCAGACTAGGCACATTTAAAGACAGCCACAGCTCTAGAAAGTAGGGATTGGAAATTAACACCAGAGTCACACTATATATTTGTAGATTATTTTCTATATACCATTTTTAAAGAAAAGCAAAGCTTCAACTTGCATTTAGTATTTAAAATATTTCTGCCCAAGCTCTCTTGGAACTTCTACAGAAGAGAGAAAGAATAATGATGGCTATCTGAAAGACCTTAGTTTTTGTTTGCAATCAGAGGTTGAGATATTTTTTGGGACATTTGAGAATTTTATCACCATTTCAAATGAATGTGAAGTCTTCAATTAGAAAGTATAAGCCAGAAGCCATCATTAAGCTCCTATACTAGTCATGCTTTTATCGCTTCTCATAATTATCTTAAATACATTTACTAGTCATGACACACAAAATAATTAAACATTGCATTTAAATGGATAAGAAAATAATATGACTTCAGGAAGGCCCTTATCCCTTTAGACAGAGCTATAGGAAAACACAGTTGCAGTTAGGTAAAGGACCAGAGCATATTATCTGTGCAAATGTGTAACATCCATGCCCTGGTCGTGAACTTTTAGTAGCATCCCTAGTCATGGTAGCAAAATAAAAATTGCTCCCACGCATTTCCAAACTCCCCTTAGTGGGAATGATACCACCCTCCCAGTTTGAGATGCACTGCTTGAGACTTTTGTTAAAATTTGATCAGTTAACAAGGCACCTGTGGTTGTAAACATTCTGTTTTCTGTAGTTTCTCTTACCAGCAAAAAGGAGAAGATTATAACATCAATATAAAAACAAAAACAGTAAAACCCACATAAACTCAAAAGTCTTTCCATATTCAACTGACTTTGCTTCACATTTTTTTTTTTCATTTAAAGCTAACATCACCTTAAAGGATTTCTCACACTTCTGAATTTATATTTCCTGACCTCCAAAAGGGATCCTATCTATTATTAAAAAGTCAAAACATAACAGATGCTGGTGAGGTCGCAGAGAAAAGGGAATACTTATACAATGGTAGGGTGGATAAGAAAATGGAATACCACGGAAGACCATGGAATACTACGTAGCCATAAGAAAGAATGAGATCATGTTCTTTGCAGCAACATGGATAGAGCTGGAGGCCATTATCCTAAGCTAATTAATACAGAAACAGAAAACCAATTACTGTAAGAAATTGGCATAATGGCATAAATGGCAGCTAAACATTGAGTACACATGGACACAAAGAAAGAACACAGGGGCTACTTGAGGGTGGAGGGTGGAAGGAGAATGAGGACTGAAAAATTACCTATCAGGTACTATGCTTATTTATTAGTTGGGTGTTGAAATAATCTGTGCACCAAACCCCTGAGACATACAATTTACCTGTATAACAAACCTGCGCATGTACCCACTGAAACAGAAAGTTAAAAAAACGAACACAAAAGGGGTCTTATATTGTTCTACTTCCACATTCTCACATTTGTTCCCTCTTCTGCACTATCTTACCTCAAATTTACACGTTAATGAGTTCTATTGTTTGTGTGTGTGTGCGTGTTAATAGTTGAACCATTGATACAATTTGACCTATTTGGAATGGATGTGAAGGACTTTTTCTTTATTTTAATTAAAGCACATGTTTCTCAATTAGGACCTAGGGAATATAGGTTGAGACTTAGTACATAGTCGTTAGAATGACAACTGAAATTGAAATTAAATAAATATGTATCGGTTCATGATGGTTGACCTCATTTACCCCATTATAATCAGTGCCCTCCACTACAGAACAGCAAACTCACTCCTAGCATTGACATCTACTAGTTGTATGTTCGAGATTGCAGAAGAAGCAATATAGAGTTAATGACTGTCATAATGACTGAGATGCATGATGACATCAGTAATTTTTTAGTAGATCTCTTTTTGGACACAAAAATCACCACCAATATGACTATGTGTCTTTAAAACTATATTTATGTATATACATATATATACATATTTAGTTATATAGCACAACCAAACCTCTATTGTGAGTATAAACCTTTATAGGTACTCCAGAGCAATGGTTAGCAAACTATGGCCCATGAGCTAAATCCAGCCTCACATCTGCTTTTGTAAATAAAGTTTTAATAGAACACAGACATGCTAATTCATTACTATATTGTCTATGGCTGTTTTAATGCTATATAGCAGCAGAGTCAAGTGGTTATGACAAAGACTGTATGACATGCAAAATCTAAAATACTTACTCTCTGTCTCTACAGAAAATGTTTGCTGACTCCTGATATAGATTGTAAATGAAAGGTCAGCAGAATACATGTGCATTTTTTTTTCTTTTTTTATTGCTAGAATCGGTTGTATGAAATGGGATCAAGGAGCTGCTAATTGTTGGGACCAACGTCTCCTCCCTACAGAGCTACAAATCTTGGCACTGTGTCATGTCAAAGGTGAAAAACAACAAATGAAGTTCATTTTGATGAGGTTTAAGAAATGTATTTTCTAGCGCATTTTGAGGTGTATCTAATCTTTGGGTTGTAGAAAATGACAACGTGTTTCAAAACAGTTGAAAAGAACGTTTTAATCTGTTATGTTCATTAGTATTTTATAATAATTTCAGAACTATCATCTAATAAAGTATCATAAAGGACTATATTGAATTGCAGTAAAAAGTTTTGAGTCCATCTGTTAACATTTATTTGTCTAGTTATTGTGGATTTCATGCTTATAAAACTATTGGTAAAACATATGATCATTTAAGTCATATTGCCTCATAAATTTTGGCCAGCTTATTTTTCGTAGACCCATGTTGGGGTTTACTCCTTCAGCTGATTTTGGTTTTCATGGACATTAAAAGAGATGCTACAGAGTTTCTCTATAATTTGCCATTTAATGAGTGTCTTCACCACGAATGATGGAAAAGTGTATAAGGAAGTTAGTATGTTCGCTTTGAACCATGACTAAGTACCTGGTACTGGACTTGCCTTCCTGTCACAAACGAGTAAGAAACTAGAAAAACTACTTAAAGCAACTGTTTTCAGGCAATGATAAACAGGCAGCACGTGACTGATCCATGAGCGCAAAACACGCAGGTGAACTCCATAATCAGGAAGGAGACACTTAAGTAAAGTGGTGGCTTTGCTGAGTTGAGGAGGAAATTATCGGAGTTCAAGGTTGTTGGAATGGCTGAAATTTTGTAGGCTAGAATATCTGAGCGCTCTCTCTCTCTCTCTCTCTCTCTCTCTCTCTCTGTGTGTGTGTGTGTGTGAAAGAGAGAGAGAGAGAGGAAGAGACAGAGAGAGGAGAGCGAAAGAGACAGAGAAGGGGGAGGGGAGGGGAGAGAGAGAGAGAGAGAGAGAGAGAGAGACGGAGACAGAGAAGGGGGTAATACTGAAAGCTTGTATGGAAATTCACTGAGGATACAGATGTGCCAGGCGAGACCTTGCAAGACTTAGCAGAGCTTGCCTGCTGTAGGGGAAAGGCTGAAGAGTGATACTAAGGGTGAGGCAGTGCTGGAAGACATTAGATTTCCAACCTAGCAGTGGAGTAACTTCACTAATACCTTGAGCACTTAATTGAGAATCCAGAACCAAGCCTTAGGAGAAAGACCCATACAAAAGAGTAAGGGGAATATGCTAGGACTAAATTTAAAACCAAATAAGACTTATACTGAAAATGAAAATTTCACATGACCCAAAGAATCCACCACTAATTAAGCTGCATGCCACACAAAACATAATATAATTTAACATACTATAATTTAAATAAGCCAACACAATCCAGATTCCCTATAAATATCACTACAAATGTCCAGTATACAATTAAGTTTTATCAGATATCCACAGAGGTAGAAAGATGTGAACCATAAGAGAAAAGGCAGTCTATTAAAAAAAATGTCTGTGAGATGATCCAGATGTTGGGATTAGCAGAAAAAAAATTTAACCTAGCTTTTGTACTTTCAAGGACTTAAAGGAATAGAGTCATAATAAATGGGATATCAGCATATAAATGAAAACTTTTTTTAAAAAAGACATATTTCAAGAACTAAGAAGTACAGAATTTGAATTTAAAAATTCACAATATGGGCTTATCAGTAGACTGGACACTGCAAAAACAACAAAAAAGTTAACTTGATGATAGATCAATAAAAGTATTCAGTCTAAAGCTCAGGAAAAAAATGAACTGAGTCTTGGTACATATCAATATGGAGTGGTCTTACATACATATAATTGGAGTCCCAGAAAGGGAGCAGAAGCATAATTGCACAGAAAAAATATTTAAGACAATAATGGCTGAAAATATCCCAAGTTATCGTAAAGCAAATGGACAAATCTAGGAAACTCAGTGAATACCAAATAGGCTAATTACAGAGAAAATCACACCTAGACACATTATGGTCAAACTGCAAATAACCAAGTATTGGGAAAGAAAAGTTTTACAGGCAGTCTGAGAAACATAATACATTATGCATGGACAAAAATAATAAAGTGATAGCTGACTTCTCATCAAAAACAAGAGGTTAAAATCATCAGAGGGCTTAAAGTGCTGATGATGTATAAAAACTGCTAATCCAGAATCCTATATCTAGAAGAAAATCCTTCAAAACCGAAGACAGAATCGATATTTTCAGATAAATAAAAACAGAAAATTCAACACCAATAGACCTCCACTGTAAGCAATGCTAAAAAAAATTCTTTAGGATGAAAGATGACATACCAGATGGAAACTGAAATCTGTAATGTTTTAGTTATCCTTTTGATATAATAGATTTAGTAATTTAAAATAATAATCATTTATTATTTCTCCCTATTCTATAGCTTTGCTTACCTGGATGATTCTCCTGCTCTGGATATTATTGGCTGGGGTCACTCAGGTGGCTGCACTCAGCTGGGTGTTTAGCCAGGGCTGGAACTTCCAAACTAGCTTCATTCACATGTCCGGTAGTTCAGCTGTGTGGCTGAAATGGTTGGGATGGTTGGCTGAAATGTTTTTCATTCTTTAGTAATCTACTCTAAACTTATTTATTTGTTGGCCAGATTTCTAGAGGATAAAAGTAAAGGTGTATGGCTTCTTAGGGGCTAGGCCTAGAATTGGTATGACATCACTTTCACGATGTTTTGTTCATCAAAGCAAGTTAAAAAACCAGCCCAGATTCAAGGGGTGGGAACATAGATTCTGTTTCTTTTTTTCTTTTCTTTCTTTTTTTTTTTTTTTGAGACAGAGTCTCACTCTGTCACCCACGCTGGAGTGTAATGGTGTGATCTCGGCTCACTGCAACCTCTGCTTCTTAAGTTCAAGCGATTCTCCTGCCTCAGTCTCCCAAGAAGCTGGGATTACAGGTATGTGCCACCACGTCCAGCTAATTTGTGTGTGTGTGTGTGTGTGTGTGTGTGTGTATTTTTAGTAGAGACAGGGTTTTACCATGTTGTCCAAGCTGATCTCGAATTCCTGACCTTGTGATCCACCTGCCTTGACCTCCCAAAGTGCTGGGATTACAGACATGAACCACCATGCCCGGCTGATTCTATTTCTTAAAGGTAGAAGCAACATGCACATACAAGAATGTGAATACTTTTTGACAGCTATTTTTAAAGATAATTCACCACAAACAGGAAGAAATGAAAAGAACTGGAAATAGTAAAATGTAGGTAAATACATAAAAGGTAATATATATTTTTCTTCTCTTAATTTCTTTGAAATACATATGACTAAGGCAAAAATAACAATGTGCATAGATGTTATATATATGACAACAAAGCACAAAGGACTTGGGGAGGTGGTAAGTAGAACTTTACTACTGCAAGGCTGTTTTATTTTACATGAAGTATCATAATTTTAACTCTAAGGCTGTGATAAGTTAAGAATGTATATGATAATTCTCAGAAACACTGTAAAGCAATAATGCAAAAAGATATAATTAAAGCCAACAGAGGGATTAAGATGAAATACAAAAACATTAATTAACCCAAAAGAAAGCAGAAAGTGGAGCACAAAGGAATACAAAACTAATGGGACAAATCAAAAACAAATAGCAAAATGATAGACTTAAACTCAACTATCTGTTGTCTGTAACAGAAGCACATTAAATTAAAAAACACAGGTTGAAAGTAAAAGGATGGATAAAGATCTAACAGTAAACAGTAAGCCAGGAAGGCTGTAGTGGCTATACTAATATCGAATGAATTAGACTTCAAGATAAGGAGTATTATCAGCGATGAAGACATTTCATAATGATAAAATGGTCAATTCATCAAGAAGACACAAGAACCACAAATGTTTATATGCCCAATAACAGAGATACAAAAATGCAAAAGAAAAGCTGACAAAACTAAAGAAAGTGGCAAATTCACAACCACAGTTTGAGTTTTACACTCCTATCTCAATAATTAATAGTAACACTACACACAAAACAATCAATACAATATAGAAGATCCGAAGAAAACTATTAACCACCTTAATCACATTGACGTTGATGGACACAATGCTCAGTAACTACAGAATACTTATTCTTGTCTACTGCTCATAGAACATTTACCAAGATAGACTATATTATGGGCACAGTAAGTCTCAAAAAACTTTAAAGTATCAAAATTTCAGAGTTTGTTTTCTAACCATGGCAGAAATAAACTGGTAATCTCCAACAAGAGTAGTCATAAAAAAGAGAGAAGATGCAAATGATCAATATCTGTGTTTCATTTATCTATTCCTATGTAAGAAATCAGTGCAAACTTCAGTGACTTAAAATAACAACCGTTTTATTGCTCATAATTTTGTGAGTATAGGGCTGAGAACAGCTCACCTCTGCTCCGTGTGTTGTCAACTGGTCTTGCTCATGTAGTTGCATTTGGCAAGTGCCTGATTTAGGATACACAGTCTGAGATGAATTTCTTCACATGTCCAAAACCAAGGTGCTGACTGTTGGTTCCATGTGGCCTCTCTTTCCCTGTGGTCTTTCACACTCCAAGGGCTCTTTCTTCACCTGGCCACTCTCTCCAGCAGGATAGGCTGGTCTTCTTTTTGTAGCTACTCAGAGCACTGAAACATGAAAAAAAAAGAAGAAAAAACTGTGTCTTTGAGGATACAGTCCCTGGGGTGGAATTCTAGCCCATGTATTTTAGTTTTCTCTATATGATTTTCTGAGATATTTTTGTTTTTATGCTTTCATACCACATTCCTTTTTTGTTCTTGTTAGCTGTGATATAGGATAGTCTATTTATGATGAAGTCTCTTCAACTGTTTGGCTGTGTGAAGTTTATCCTTTAACAGATTGTACAGGAAGCGTTCATGGAAATAATATTCCTTAAATGACAGTTTGCAACTTTAAAAACAACATAATTCATCACCATATTAAGTTGCTGTTTAGTACAAAGCAATTGTTAAGAACATCTTTTTCTTAGGACATGCTTTCTTATAGATTGAAATCTAGAAAAGTCTTTTGCATGCTTTATGTTTTCATATTTGTCACGTCTTTTTTTTTTTTTTTTTTTAGACGTGGTCTTGCTATGTTGTCCAGGATGGCATCGAGCTTTTGAACTTTTGAGCTCAGCGAGCTTCCTGCCTCAGCCTCCGGAGTAGCTAGGACTACAGGTGCTTGCCACCGCAACTTCCCTCCTTCCTTCTTGTTTATGCTATTGGATGTGATCTAGTTGATTTTTTAAAATCTCTTCTCTCCAACACATTTTCCGTCAGAATTGTCGCCTGGGAAAGAAAAAAGGTAGGTAGGGCACATTAAGTTATTCCCATTGTTTCCTACTGCTCCTTAGAGGTGTTTGAGAACTTCAAGGAAAATCAGAAAGTTCTTCCTCACTTTCGGGAGAACATAAACTTTCAGCCATGTAAAATAATTTCTGGGCTGGTTTTGGTGAATTTATACCTCAAGCCAATGGGAGAAAAGTAGCCAGACTAAGCCTCTAGTCAAGAAAGTAATGATTATGTATGTTATTTTGTGTGTGCTCTCCTGAACTATGCATAATTTATGTTAGCCCTGCCTGTAGAGTTAGAGCACAAGCTTGAGTGAGGACTCAAGAACTAATGACAGAAAGAGCAGCAGAAAGAACTTTTCTTGCAAGTCCTTAACTACTGCATATTGTTTATGAAGACAACATAGAATCAACTATTTGTAGCATTTTAAGGAATCCATGTACATTTTTTTTTTTTTTTTAAAGACAGGGTCTCATTCTGTCGCCCAGGCTGGAGTGCTGTAGTGTGATCACAGTTCACTGCAGCCTCCTCCTCCCCGGGCTCAGGTGATCCTCCCACCTCATCCTCTCGAGTAGCTGGGACTAGAGGCATGCACCACCACCCCAGCTTATTTTTTTAAATTTTTTTTGTAGGGACGGGGTTTCATGATGTTGCCTAGGCTGGTTTCGAACTCCTGAACTCAAACGATCCGCCTGCCTTGCCCTCCCAAAGTGCTGGGATTACAGGCATGAACCACCGTGCCCAGCCTCAAACTCTTACTAGACCCTTTAATTTCCCCTCTGATACTCTGATTCTACCCAAATTGTTCACCTTCACAGAGGAAACTCAGTGATTCGTGGGGGAGCTTATTATTTGTGCATCCTCATTTGTGGACAAAATTCTTTCTTGCTGTGACTTGAAAGCAGCCTCCCTTTAGCTTTCACTTATTAGTCCTAGTTCTGTTCTCTGCTGCTAAGAAAAAAGGTCTGATTCTTCTTTCACGGATCAGCTCTCCAAATGTTGGAGAAGCACACTGCGTTTCCTTAACCGTCTTACTTTTGACCCATATTTCATTTGTTTGTCTCAACGTCCCTCATGCAAGTTGAACCAGACGGGGTCCGCAGAACAATTTTTGCTGAGAAGGCAAAAGAAATTCTCGCCCAAATTGTGGAGAAGGGAGTCGAACCAATTAAACCCAAAGCTAAAACTGTAATAGAAAAGAACTTTCACGCTCGCAATGAACAGGATATGCATGGATTTGTCTCGTCACAGCCACTAGCCACGCCTCCACTCGTGCAGTGCGCCTGCGAGCCGAGCAGAAACCAATGGCCCATCGTAGTGAATTTCTCGTAGTGAAATTCTGCGCTTTAGAATGCTCCCTTCGCCCAGCCGCCGACCCCTCACCCCAATTTCCATTTTAAATGAAAGTCTCCCACTTTCTAGCTGAAATAAAGCTCGGGCAAAACTAATCGGAGAGAGGCAGTTCACTGTCACTTCCTGGGTCACTTCCAGAAGTCACTTCCGGGGTCGAGGCGAGGCCAACAATACGCCTGCTACCGCAGGAGTTACGAGCTGGGCCGCGCGCAGCCTGAATGCCTAAACCAGGTTTTGCGCATGCTCATATAAAGCTCTCCTAACCGTCTTCCGGTGGGAATTTATTCACGTGGTCCGGAGTCGGAGACTGAGTTTAGCTTTACTGAGGAGCTCTAATTTTAAGCGGGTAAGTGCCGCAGATATCGTCCGTGGTTCCTGCGTTTAAATGGGACGGGAAGGGGTGTGTCAGGATTCATCCATGTTCTCCTGATATTTCCTCCTAATACCTGAAACCCTTGGAGTCTGAGAACGAGAGAAGGGGCTAGAGAAGCTTTGGTTGCCGTGGCAACTGCGGGACACCAATTTGGATTTTTGAGGATTTGGAAAGGGAGGATTTGTGTAACTACGCCTCAAAATACATGATGAGTCAGATTCAAATTCATTTGTTACTTATAATTCATACTCGTAGCCACAAAATTTGATTTTAGAAGGTTTTCTCTGGGTGTAATGCAGAGAAGCAAAATCTGAGCCAGGGTAATTATTTAGAAAGCTAATGCAGTAATCTAGGCACTGTTTGAAGGGGTCTTGAACTAGGGTAGTGCTGTAGGATTGCAGAGAAGAGGGGAAATTGGGGAAATTTGGGAGGCAGTATCAGGGGCACTAATACTCGATTTCATATGGGGAATGAGGAAGGGGCCCTGAGCATCTTTAGGAGTAAGTCCAAACTCAGCTTGGCTTATTATTTTTTTAGGTTCGTTTCTCACCTTCCGCACCCCCCTCCACACACACCCCGACTTCTAGTCATGCTAAGTAGTTTAGTGTTCTATTTCCTAGAATAACGTCCTCACCTTTATTGTGATGTTAGGCAGGTTCTATCATTTCACTAAGCCCCTCAGTTTTTTCAATCTTAACATGGAAGAAAGTAATAGTACCCACCTCAGGATTGCTGTGGGGATTAAATTAGATAATTTATACTTCTGGTGCGTAGTAAGGGCCTAATAAATATTAGCTGCTAGTACTATTCTTATTATACTTCTCGTATTGTTTTGTTATTATACGTTTTGCTGTTTCTTCGTCTAGACCTGAGATTTTTTTAAATTAGAGGGGCAGTATCTTACTTATCTTTATATGGACTTGAAACATTAGTAGTTCGGTCTTTTTAATGTCTCATTCATTTTGGCTGTTGCTGACATAGTTAAATTCATTTTTTACTTTAAAAGAGCTGACAGGTATCATGCATTTTGCTGATCAAATTGTATTTATTAGATAAAAAGATAGCTGTTTTTCTGTACAACTCAGAAGACTGTGGATTAAGATGTACAGAAAGTAACTGATATCTCAGTTTGTAATAGGTATGAGTGATTTCAGTGAAGAATTAAAAGGGCCTGTGACAGATGATGAAGTGGAAACATCTGTGCTCACTGGGGCAGGAATGCATTTTCCTTGGCTTCAAACATACGTAGAAACTGTGGGTAAGTAAAACAGTAACATTGAGCCATTTTAACTTAAAATGTAAGGAGATGGTAAGATTCAATATGGATACAAAATCAATAACCAGGCTGGTTTAATTTTCAAGAGGAATATGTGGAGTGTTTTTAGGCTGTAAGCCAAAAAAAAGTGTTTTTTCTTTTAGAACTCTTTGACTTTGGATTAACAGTAGTCTGTATTATGCTAGATACACATTTTTTCCAGTAATACTTACTGAGCACTTTTATTTCTGGCATTGATTAAATATTGGGGAGTCATAGATGAAGAAGATACGGTCTCTGCCATTGAGGAAAACATGCCCAGGAAGTGTTCAAGAAGTTGCTGTTGAATTGCATTGAAATTATTTCAAATAGAATTGATCATGTAATAGATTTTTTTTTTTTTTGGAGACAGAGTCTTGCTCTGTTGCCCACACTGGAGTGCAGTGGCTAGATCTCGGCTCACTGCAACCTCTGCCTCCCGGGTTCAAGTGATTCTACTCAACCTCCCAAGTAGCTGAGATTACAGGTACCCGCCACCACGCCTGGCTAGTTTTTGTATTTTTAGTAGAGACAGGATTTCACCATGTTGGCCAGGCTGGTCTTGAACTCTTGACCTCAAGTGACCTGCCCTCCTCAGCCTCCCAAAGTGGTGGGATTACAGGTGTGAGTCACTGCACCCGGCCTAGATAAAAGAGCATTTTCCCTCATTTTTATCTAATGTAAATGCAAGCATGTTTTTCTATGGGATAAAATTTCCCCCATTTTTATCTAATATAAATGCAAGTATGTTTTTTTATGGGATAAATTCCCTATAAGAATTTATTTAATATAAGTATAAATAAAAGAAGCTATTATTTGTATGCTGGCGTATTGAGTGGTTTACATTTGGGATTACATTTGAACCAGCATTTTACTTACTGCCCTTAAATATGTATTTTTTTGCCCAGACTTTTCTCCCCTTGACAGAGATTCCTTGGCTCCTAAAATTTCGCTTCCATTTTTTCTTTCGATCTAAGTATCATCTCATTTAATGATCTCAGTAAATTCTCAATAAATTTTTGTGCTAGGCAGTTTAGGTAGGAGGAAACTGAACCTCAAAGACATTAAATTCGTAAGTGGTGGTATCAGAAGGCAAATCCAGGTTTGTCTGATCTCAAAGCCTACACTTTTAACCACTGAGATATATTTTTTAAAATGAGACAATATATGTAAAGTACCTAGCATAGTATCTCATGCATAGTGAGTGTTGAAAAATAATAGTGCCTTTCCTCTCCTCATTTTAGTTTTGCTAGATTAATGCACGTGGCTTAAGGCAGATTTGAATGAATGATACTTCAGAGATAGTGCTACTTCATCCCTGGTAGGGAACTAATAATTTAAATTTCCTATAGTTATATCATACTTGGGTATATTTCTGTTACCAGTGTTCTATAGAAAGTCTGAGTCAGTCTGCAAGCAGATAGGTTTAAGACCAAAATTTACATGCTTAGAAATATTTTATATGTCGTGGATAGCCTGTTAAACCCAAAATACTTTTGGTCTGCAATGAGAAAATACTTGGAAGTAATATTGACATTGTGCTGGTAATTAACCATAATAGGAAAACAAAATTGCCTAACAGTTGCTGTATTTCTTTTTTATGCTGGTAGATATCTTTTGGCATTTTGAAGGGCACGCCCAGCAAGCCCCTTAGAACAAAAACTTTGAAGACAGGGCCAGTCTGGATTGAAGCTGTATGATGAGTACCTGCAGTAGTGCTTGGCACACAGTGGTGCCCAAAAAATATTTGTTGACAGACTGATAAGTTTCCAGATTCTTTGAGTAGCATATTAGAAGTTAGGTTGATGACACTAGTTCTTTATTGTACATCTCTATTCCATGTAAAAATGTGTTTTCCTTGACCATTTTTTTTTTCTTAAAGTTATCAGGATCAAGTAAGACTATCTTTTGCTCATTAAAGAATGAAATGAGAAGAGAACTTTTCCTGAGGTAACTAGGCTAGGTTGGAAGACAAAAGTATTTTCCAAGCATTTAGGTATAGTTATCTAAAGTCGATTTGTAGTCTCAGTTGTGAAAGCTTGAGCGATAGAAGGGAGCTTAGCCTGAGAACAGTTCTCTCCTTTAGGTAAATAAAAGATGTTGTAAGGATGAGGTGTTTTGTCAGTTTCCTAGGCTGGCTGGCTGGTATTGCCACCGACGCTGAGCAGCTTTGGTGTGGGGATCTTATAAAATGCAGCTGCTGATTCAGAGAGCTGGGCATAGTACTCTGTAGTTGTAATGAGATTCCAGGTGATACTTCTGCTGCATGTTCCAAGACCACATTGAGTAGCACAGGCAGGTCCCCAGGTGATTTGTATGTACGTTCAAAAGTCTGAGAACACTAGCGCAGTAGTCTTCAAACTTTTCACTTTTGTATCCCCTACTTTTTTCTGAAAAATTGAGTACTACCTTGCACAGTTTTAAGGAATCATCTGAAAATATTTTATTGTATGTTTAATATTTTCAAGAGTTGTAATTTCCAGCACGTTGGTATTTTTAAATGAATATATATTACTTTATATGTGATGGAGTCCAGATAGCATAGGAGTGACATACAGTTTTAATACCTTGCATTATCCATTTAAAAATTAAGAAAAAGTTTTTAATAGATGGAATTTTATGTTCCTTTTTGTTGTACTTCTTGCAATAAAAGTTATGTATCAACATTTATACTTTTTTGTGTTTATATCCTATAAGTTTTAAGAATTAAAACTTTTCTAGGTTGAGACGTTGCTATCATTAATAGTTGTACATAGCTGATCAATATTACATGTATTAAAAGTGTTGCTGGCCAGGTGTGGTGGCTCATGCTCATAATCCCAGCACTTTGAGAGGCCAAAAGGAAGGATCACTTGAACCCAGGAGGTCAAGGCTACGGTGAGCTATGATTGTGCTAGTGCGGTCCAGCCTGGGTGACAGAGCAAGACTCTCTCTTTTTCTTTTTTTTTTTTTTTTTTAAATAAAGTTATCTAAAACTTTTTCCCAATTTTTTTTTTTATATATTTGTGGGTG